GGATGGGAGTCGGGGGCCAGGGCCCGTCCCTGTTGGGGAATCCCTAGGCTCCAGCCCCCTGCTGAGACCCTTCCCGGAACTGGGGACAGTGGGCAGCCTTTCTTTTTCCTCTTCTCGCCTTCCAGCAAACCAGCCTCCGAGGTGATCAATGAATATTCCCGCAAGGTCGATTTCCTGAAGGGGATGCTGCAGGCAGAGAAGCTGGTGAGCCGGCCTGCTCTACTTCCTCAGCCCTCATCACGCTCACCTGCCCAGGACCTGTCCCTCTGGTGACCCCTTTTCCCTCTTTGGCAGACCTCCGCCTCAGAGAAGGCCCTAGCCAACCAGTTTCTGGCCCCTGGCCGTGTACCAACCACAGCCAGGGAGCGGGTGCCTGCCACCAAGACGGTGCATCTGCAGTCGCGGGCTCGGTACACCAGCGAAATGAGGAGTGAGCTGCTAGGCACGGTAGGGCTACCTCCCTGGTCCCTGGGAACCCTTTGGTCAGGGACAGTTTCGTGCCTGGATGTGGCCAGAACAAATGCTGGCAGGTGCAGGGACCCAAGGGGTCCCAACAGCCTCTGCCCTGGGCCATCAGTCGGCTTCCCAACAGAAAGGCAGAGCCAGGACTTTGCTAGATGTATAAGAGTTTGGTCCAAGGCAAAAATGGTATAGATAGTTAAGACCCAGAGCAACAGATAGGCAAGTTTGCCACAGATAGATGACTGTGTCTCATCCTGCCACAAATGGACAAGTTTTTCCATCTGTAAAATGGGACAGCACGTGTCTTCTTGAGCATTTTATGTGGATCAGGTAAACCCTTCGAAATATGAAGAAACTAAGGCCCAGAGGTCATGGGACTTGCCCTGGTCCCTGAATGAGTGTGTGTGGGGGGGGGGGTTCTGAGAGCAGAAAGGACATTTTCGGGGGGCAGGACAGATAGGTGACTTCATGCCTCTCTCTTTTTCCCATAGGACTCTGCTGGAGGTGAGTCGCCCTGAATGAGACAGGACTTGAGGCTTAACTGTCATGCCACCTCACATCCTTCACCTGATTCCCCCAGGGTCTTCCACAGCCCAGGGAGCATAGCCCCAGGGGTGTCACCTAGTTATGCCTGATGGGGGTACCAGGACAGAGGAGCTGGCCCCCAGAGGAAATAAAGCTGGAAAATCCCAGGCCACGGGGCCAAGGTTAGGCCGGCAGAAAGGACGTGGGGCCTGGGGGAGCCCAGATAGGGGTGAGGAAAATTTCTTAAAAGAGAGGGCTTTTGAGTTAGGGCTTTGAAGCATGATCAGGAGCTCACTGGGCAGCCGACTAGACAGGCAACGACATTATGAATAGCAGACACATCACAGGCAATGATCAGGAAGCCGGAAAACAGGAAACCAATCCTTTTCCTTCTTCCTGCTTGGCTTTTTCGCTTCCAGAGCCCCCGCTGGATGTGAGGAAGAGAACGTAAGTGTCCTCAGCCCTTGGGTGGCCCTGGGGTGTGAGGAGGGCGGGCGGCTGGACGAACCTTGGGCCACTGAAGCACCAAACCATGAGGGCCTCCACAAGCATCTAAACTACTGATCAGAAGCCACTTCTGGGGATGCTCTTCCTAAAAGCCAAAGTAAAAAAGGGGAAACGGAGCCCCAAGCAGGGCAGTGGCTGGAGCCATAACCTCTGGGTTCCTTGGGAACATGTTGGTTTCTTCCCCTCCCCCACCCCGTCTCATGCCCACTTGTCCACCTATGTATGAGGTCAGCGGGGTGACAGGGCCCAGACCAGGGGATGAGAAACAGTCGGCAGCCGAGCTGGACCTCGTCCTGCAGCGACATCAGAACCTCCAGGAGAAGCTTGCGGAGGAGATGCTAGGCCTGGCCCGGAGCCTCAAGACCAACACACTGGCCGCCCAGAGCGTCATTAAGAAGGACAACCAGGTGTGAGGACTGTGGGAACTTTCCAACCTCTGCCCTGGGACATCAGAGAAGGCTTCCCAGCAGAAGGGCACTGTGGCCAGGGCTTTGTTGGATAATAGAAGTTTGGTAGTAGGCACAAACGGAATTCCCAGCAGAGGGGACAGTACCAGCAGGGCCTAGAGGAGCAGACTTGCCCCCAGGTGGCGGGCAGACACCACACTTGACCACAGTCGGGTTGACACTCTCCCTACCTCACCCACAGACCCTGTCACACTCCCTCAAGATGGCTGACCAGAACCTGGAGAAGCTGAAGACAGAATCCGAGCGGCTGGAGCAACACACACAGAAGTCTGTCAACTGGCTGCTCTGGGCCATGCTTATCATCGTCTGCTTCATCTTCATCAGCATGATCCTGTTCATCCGCATCATGCCCAAACTCAAATAAAGACCTGTCCCGGCCCACCCTGTCTGCCCTCTGTCTGCCCTCCACCCGTGTCCAGGGCTGCCCTTTGGGCTGGGCAACAATATGGGAGGGTCTTTGGAGGTTCCTGAGAGCCACAGAAAGCGCATGAGCAGGAGAGGAAGGTCAGTCTGGGCGGGGTGGTGACCCAGTGACCTCCCCCTTCAGTTCCCCCCTGAGTACCCACCCCACACCGGAAAAGGCCAGGCCCCAAGAAGCCGCAGGAGCCCCCAGGCTGGAAGAGTCAGAGCCAAACACAGTGCCTTCAGCCCTGTGCGGTTGGGATGAGGCTGGAGGGTGGGGGAGAAATGGGGCTATGTCTGGAGGTCAGCCTGGAGGAGGGAGCATCAGGGCTGGGCCTTCTTGAAACTGAAGATGAGAGTTCAGAGATAAGACTTAGTCCAGCCATGACCTGAGCTCTCCGGAAACTAGAGGCTTCAGCAAGTCATTCAACAAACACATGAGGGTCTGTGGAAACTCTGCCCTGGCAAGGTCATAGCCTGATCATTTCAGATGAGAACTGGGGGGGGGGGGGGGGGGCACTACCCCCTCCCGAGTAGGGACCCTGGAAGGGGTCGTAGAGTGGGAGTCCCAGGAGAACCATTGGTTCTGGGCTCTGCTCTCACCCCAGACGTTGAAGGCAAAGCCTGTGAAGGGGCTGATCAAGGGAGCTCAGTGAGGGAGGCTGGGCAGGTGACAGGTGCACAAGGGTGTTTGTCCCAGACCCATGGGAGTGTGAGTGGGCACTATGGGGACAGGCATGGAAGTGACCAAGTGGACCCCCATCAACACAAGTATAAAAACACCAAGTAAAGCTTTTTATGAGCTCTAATGGCAACTTTTAAAAAATACATCTTGAGGGGCACCTGGCTGGCTCAGTCAGTAGAGCATGCAACTCTTTTTTTTTTTAAGATTTTATTTATTTATTTGACAGAGACACAGCTAGAGAGGGAACACAAGCAGGGGGAGCGGGAGAGGGAGAAGCAGGCTTCCTGCGGAGCAGGGAGCCCGATGTGGGGCTCGATCCCAGGACCCTGAGATCATGACCTGAGCCGAAGGCAGACGCTTAACGACTGAGCCACCCAGGTGCCCCGAGCATGCAACTCTTATCAGGGTTGTAAGTTCAAGCCCCACTTTGGGTGTAGAGATTACTTAAAATCTTTGAAGGAAAAAAAAAAAAGTAGATCTTAAGAAGGCTCACGCTTAAGATGCAGAGATGGTTCAATAGGAGTTTGTTAATAGCCACATTAATGCATCGGGAAACAAAATCGTAGGGTGGAATGGTACATTGTACTGTTCAGTATCCATTGCTCAACATCTCTCAGTAAACAATTAGCAAAGACAGATATTTTCCTCATTTAACTGCAAAATCTCAAGCCAAGGAGCATTGAATTCAATGAGCAAATACTGGCAATTCTGCCATCAAAGAGAGGGAGGTGGAGGGGAATGTCCACAGTCCACCCAACTCCCCCGAAGATTTAACATTGTCTGGAAGTGCTGGTCAATACAACTAGACAAGAAAGAAGAGATTCGACTGAGAAATGAGAAAAAAAGGCAAAGTTATTTGCAGATGATATGACTTATTCTATATGAAAAACCCAAATTAACTTTAAAAAGCTATTTCAACCAGAGAATTCAGTAAAACAGCAAGGGATTTAATTTAGTTTCCTACATGGGGGGAAAAAAAAAAGGCCTGCAAAATGTATTGGACGATCTCACCTATAATAGTAAAAGAAGATACACTACTTGGTTAAACTACATCCTTGGGGGCGCCTGGGTGGCTCAGATGGTTAAGCGTCTGCCTTCGGCTCAGGTCATGATCCCAGAGTCCTGGAATCGAGTCCCGCATCGGGCTCCCTGCTCCTTGGGGGCCTGCTTCTCCCTCTGCCTCTCTCTCTGTCTCTCATGAATAAATAAATAAAATCTTTAAAAATAAATAAATAAATAAATAAATAAATAAATAAATAAATAAATAAATAAATAATAAACTACATCCTTGGTATACAAAGAGCTCCCAAAAATCAACAAGAAAAAAAAATGTGCAGGAAAAGAAAGACAAATCATTTCTGAACTTTTTCTCTCACCAGGTTAGTCAAGACTTAAAACTTTGAAGATTCACTTGTGGGAAACCGTGATAGCACCGGAGTTTCAAAAGTTGTGGGGAAACCAGTATTTCTCTCACAGCTGCTCAGAGTATAATCTAGTGATTAAGGAAATATTTTTAAAATTTAATTGCTGAGTAAATACATAAGTACAAGTTTGCCAAAACCACCGGTTTTTCAGGCCAAAAACCCCGAGGGTCAGAGAAGGTGAGTCACCAGCTCCAAACACCCAACAAACAGGTCCGGTCTCTGTTGGACTCGAACCTGGGGCGCTTCAAAAGTGGACCCGCTTGGGGCGCCTGGGTGGCTCAGTTGGTTAAGCGACTGCCTTCGGCTTAGGTCATGATCCTGGAGTCCCAGGATTGAGTCCCACATCGGGCTCCCCGCTCAGCGGGGAGTCTGCTTCTCCCTCTGACCCTCCCCCATCTCATGCTCTCTCTCTCTCTCATTCTCTCTCTCAAATAAATAAAATCTTTAAAAAAAGAAAAAAAAAGTGGACCCGCTTCCCTTAACGCTGGGTCCCGCCCCCTCACCGCCAACCCCGCCCAATCTCTCTAGGCCCCGCCCCGCTCTGTGGAGCGACCCCGCCCGTTGGATCCAGCCTTTGAAGTTAATGCACAACACTGCCTCAGGCGCCTCTCCGGGAGCGGACCCAGGCTCGGAGAGCCGGACACTGGGACAGGTAACCCCGGACCGCAGCGGTCTGTGCGGCCCGCAGCTGGGGCGGAGGTTCCGGGGGACTTCTCGGGGGCGGTGTCCGTGGGCTTCACGCGCTCCAGCAGCGCAGGCGAGGCTGCAGCAGCGCGGGGGTTAACTGGAGGCGGGCCCACCCAGGATACGCGGTGGCGTCACGGGCGTCGCGCCTTTCCGGGTTACGCAGCCAGGGGCGGGCTGCTCTGAGAGCCAATCGAGTGCGTCTATGCAAATAGCGGCGGAGCTAGCGCTCTCGCCAGTCGGCGGAGAGTTGGCCGCTCCGGGCTCCGCCTCCCGGTCGGCCCTGCAGGCTTCCCCGCCTCCAGGCGCGCCTTTCTCTGGTGCCCACAGGCGGCCCGCCGACCCCCCCCGCCACGCGGGGGCCACGGCGCCCCCCGCAGGACCCGCCCGCCGCCCCGGGGATGCCCGAGCGGCGCCTCCCTGAGGCCGATGCCCACCCGGGAGTCCCCAAAGACCCGCGGCTACCGGGGGGACCTGCAGACCCGCCCGCCTGGCCCTGGGCCCCCGGTGAGTCCGAACGGGTGGAGGGTCCCCAGGCCGAGCCTAGGCAAAAGATCATTCCCCCCAGTTTGAGGGATCCTGCCTTCCCCATACCCTGGTTAACTCCAAACCATAATTCCTGCGGCACCCGCAGCGGTTGGTGCCTCCAGGCCCGGAAACCAGCGCCCCCCGCGCTCTGCGCGAGGGTCAACCAGGAGCGCACAGCGCAAGGCCCAAGAAGATTGTATTTGAGGATGAGCTGCCCTCCCGGGCCCTCTTGAGCACCAGGAAGCCTATTGAAGCCATCCCCAGGGGGCATATGCCAAGGGCCCACCCAGTGCCCGACTATGAGCTGTGAGTGTCCCCCACGTTGTCCCTGATGCCTGGGAACAGGGAAGGGGCACTGAGGACGGGGCTTTGACAAATGAATAGGAGTTTACTAAATAATAAAACGAGAAAAGGAGTTTGGGGCAGGGAGTCCCACATGGGCAAAGAAGAACAAATTAAACTGATTGGGGGAAAGGGACGAGTTCTTTCCATTCACACTCTGTCCACTTTAAACCCGCAGTAAGTACCCACAAGTGAGCAGTGAGAGGGAACGGAGCCGCTATGCTGCGGTGTTCCAGGACCAGTACACAGAGTTCGTGGAGCTCCAGCAGGAGGTGGGCTCTGCACTGGCAAAGCTCCAGCAGCTGGAGACCTTGCTGAACTCACTGCCCAGGCCGCGAAGCCAGGTCAGCCCCGGCAGAAACCCCTGCCCCACAGCCCTTCCAGGTGGTGGACCCTGGCCTCTGGGACCCCCTCTGGGTCCAGGTCTCTGGGCCCCTTCCTCCTCTAGGCTGGGTGGGCACCACAGTATAGGGGTCAAGGTCAGCCCTTGAAGTCCTCACTAGATAGGTCACTTTGTCTATCTGAGCCTCAGTTTCCCCATGCCTCCTTGGGTTCAGCATTCTCTGAGCCCCCCACCCCCTTCTCCACTTGCAGAAGGAAGCCCAGGTTGCCGCCCGTGTCTGGAGGGAATTTGAGAAGAAGCAGACGGTGAGTCGTGTCCCCTGAGTCCCACAGGCTGGCCTTTGCACGCCTGACCCTCCCATGAGGCTCAGTGTGCCCAGTTTCACGGAAAGAAAACTGAGGCCTAGAGAGAAAGAGGCAAAGGGTTGAGCCGCTGAGGGCCAAAGGCCAAAGTACCACAAGGACTTTCCTGGGTCTTGCCCTGCCCAGGACCCCAGCTTCCTGGACAAGCAGGCTCGCTGCCACTACCTGAAGGGCAAATTGAGGCACCTCAAGATGCAGATCCAGAAGTTCGATGAGCAAGGAGACTTCGAGGGCTCTGTGTACTTCTGAGGGCCCTGGCAGACAGGCAGAGGGACACATCGAGGTGGCGGTCCCACCTGCCCTCGCCTCTCCTCCTTCCTCCCGGCTTTAGCTCCTGCTTTTACCCCCTCCTGGGGTAGCTTTGGCGAGTGCCTCAGCCTCTGAGACCCAGCTCTGATGGCGCCTCCTCCGGGAAGCTGTCCCAGAACCTCTTCAGGGACCACCGGCTCTGAGCCCAGATCTCAGCCCATCCCCTGGAAGCAGGTCCTGCCTAAGTCTGTATCTCAGTGTAATAAACATTTATGATGTCTGCTGCGTCCAACTGCTTAACACTCCTGAGCTCACTCAGCTGTCACCGAAAACGTGTTCTTCCATTTTCCAGAGTTAAAAATCGAAGTTCCGGGAAAGGGACTTACCCAAGCAGGGTGTGAACGCTTGTCTGTCCAGAGGGTTCCCTCTCCACCCGGAGCCTCGCGTGGCCTTCTGGTGGGAAGCTGAGGGGCCGACATCCAGCATTACTGCTCAGCCAGGCTTGGGCTGGGGGAGCTCCAGGAGCCAAAAGTTTTCAGTAACTGGGGCGCCTGGGTGGCTCAGTTGGTTGAGCATCCGTCGGATTTCAGCACAGGTCGTGGTCTCAGGGGTCATGTGATCGAGCCCTGCGTCGGGCACCGGGCTCAGTGGGGAGTCTGCTGCTCCCTCTTCCTGTCCCTCTGCCCCTCCCCCTGCTCTCTCTCCCTTTCTCTAAAATAAATAGGGGGCGCCTGGGTGGCTCAATCGGTTAAGCATCTGCCTTTGGCTCAGGTCATGATCCCAGGGTTCTGGGATCGAGCCCCAGGTTGGGCTCCCTGCTTGGTGGGGAGCCTGCCTATCCCTCTCCCCAGTCATCTCTCTCTTGATCTCTCCGACTCTCCCAAATAAATAAATAAAATCTTTAAAAAATAAAATACTTAAATCTTTTTTAAAAAATTTCCAGTAACAGAGGCAGGACTGGCAGAGGACCCTCCCCAGTCTTGGTTAGTGGGCATCCTACAATATTCATGTGGCAGAATGCCGGGGACCTGGAGTCCCTGATGCCGACCCAGATGCGTGAGCCCTTAAAACTCCACGTCTCCCAGAGCACTGCAGGCCCAGCAGCGATGGATGCCAGGCAGAGTGTGAGCGCAGTTTGTGTCGGCTCTGGGAGAGTCCCATGGTGCCCACCCCGTGCCAGGCCCGAGGGACGGAGGGGCGCCTGGGTGGCTCAGTCAGTTAAGCGTCTGCCTTCGGCTCAGGTCATGATCCCAGGGTCCTGGGATCGAGCCCCGCCTCGGGCTCCCTGCTTGGTGGGAGGCCTGCTTCTCCCTCTCCCACTGCCCCTGCTTGTGTTCCCTCTCTCTCTGTCTCTCTGTCTGTGTCAAATAAATAAAATCTTCAAAAAAAAGATTTTATTTATTTGAAAGAGAGAGTGTGAAAGAGAACATGGGGGCGAGGGGCAGAGGGAGAGAGAGGGAAGCAGACTCCTTGCTGAGCGCAGAGCCTGATGCGGGGCTCGATCCCAGGACCCTGAGAACATGACATGAGCCGAAGGCAGACGCTTAACTGTCTGAGCCCCCCAGGCGTCCCCTTCTGACTCTGCCTCCCAGGGGAGCCCCAGGGGATGGGGACCGTCAGAGAGGCATCTACTGCAGGCAGGGAAAGCAGTGTCAGCCACCAAATCCCAGAGTCCTCAGTCCCAGGACCTGTCCCCATGGGGCCTGTCTCCTCAGGGAAGATGGCCTGGGCCCAGTGAGAGAGCAGTAACAGAGGGCCGGATGGCAGTCTTTACCACAGAACCTCAGGAGGTCTTCTTGCAAGAAGAGCTGTATGCGTCGGGTTTTGTAGGAGTTCTGCAGTCAGGCCTAAGACATCCACGTCTCTGGCCTGGGGACTGGACAGCAGGACAGACAGAATGGTCTCGCTCCGTTCTCAGATGTCCTGTGAAAGGTCATTGCTGTCCAGCCAATTGGAGGGGGCATATGTTTGCTTACCTGCAGGGCATCGTGGAAGACGCGGACCCCGGGCAGAAACAGTCCACCCTCCAATGGGAGCCCAGTATCCTCTCCATCCCATTCCTACTTCAGTCCCCTCTGGGGGCAGAGCATACCCACAAGAACCCCATTCGTCCCCCAGGAAATGGATTCAGACACCCCGTCTTCCCGCTCAGGCCTCTTCCTAGATGGACATGAAGCAGGTGGGTGCTCATGGGGAGTGTTTTGAAGAAGGTTTAAGAGCTGAGCACGGGCCCAGCCTGCGGAGCAAGACCTGAGTTCTTCCCCATTTTCAAAGGGGTATCTTGGATGGAGGGCTTGTCTTCCTGGCCTGCCCCCACCATCCAGGCTTTCTACCCACCCTCTAGAGGCACAGTCCTGACAGTCAGTCCCACAGGCGCCTTTCCCACCACAGAGCTGGGCCACCAGCCTCTGAGGCCAGGATGGCAAGGTCCCTGCTGCCATCCATCACCCCACATCAACTTAATTAAGTCCACCTTCCAGATGTCAATCTCTGAAAGCGTTTTTTTGGTTACATGTGAGAAGAAACCAAACTCAGGCTCAGGCACAAAGGGGTAAATCTGGGATCATGAAACTGAAGCACCTAAAGGTTTCAGATATGGCTTGATCCAGGGGCTCCAAAGGCACCCTGGAAGTTGGTCTTCCTCTTTTGGCTCTTTCAATTACAGCCTATTTCCAAATCCCACCATCAAATCTCAGTGGCCATCTCTGGGCCACACGCCCTCCCTGAACCAATTGCTGTAGCCAGGGGAGGGAGGGCTCTGTCTGGGCTGAGATCATGTGGCAGAACTACCCCAAATGCTTCTCCCGAGGACACTGGGGCCCGGACACCATGATTAAGGGCTGACCAAAGGAAACAATAAGGTGTTTGCTCCAGGCCCTGTGTGGATCTGTGACGCCCACCTTCACAGGCCAGAGCCTGAACCTGAGCCTGAGCTATCTGCAGGACTCAACTCCTACGGACTCACTAGCTGACCACAGGACCCCCTCCCTGTCCCCAGCTGCTTCCCCACAAAACTGTCCAACAAAAACAGCAAGTAGGGCTGTTGCTAGGTTGTGGGTGTCCCAGATGGCTGGGAGGGGGTAGCCGTGGTGGGGTGCCCTCCGTTCTGCCTTCCCCTCACAAAGATGATGGAGGCCGAGCAGGTAGGAAACATCTTTATTATTGGCCTTGATTCATTCATCATGTAGTGTGTGACGTGGAGTACGTGTCCAGAGGATCTGCCTGGCGCGTACTACCCCCGCCCCTCTAGTGCAGACACCAGGCCTCTGTCCATCACATAAGGGAAGCCAACCCCGCCGGCCCACAAGTCCATGCTTGGGGTGCTGAGCTCCAGGCTCTCCCAGGAATGGACCCTCGGTCCCTCCCCCTCTATTTTGGCCAGGAGTCCTGGGGAGGCCGAGGCTGAAGCCCGAACAAGCACTCTCTTTTTGGTTTCGTGATCATTTAAAAAACAGAGGAGACAACATTTCACAGTCTTTAAAAAATAGGAGTCTGAGGAGAGAAGCCAAGGTCCTCCACTTGGGGGCCCCGCGCGAGGCCGAAGCATCCATGTCCCTTGAGGTCTGCAGACCCAGCCGCAGCGCAGCCGGCCCTGTGAAGTCACTGGCCTGAGCCATAGGGCCAGTTGAAGGTACTTCCTGACAGCAGCATGTCTCGGATCAGCGTCTCGATGGGTGTCTTGCCCACCAGGCGCATGAAGAACAGCTGGGAGATGAGGGAGGCGGGGACAGCGCGCAGGGCTGGGAGCCGAAGCAGCAACCGTCCGAAGCGCTGGGGCTGGGACGGGTACTGAGCCCGCACATACTCTGTGAGGGCCACCTGCGCCTTCTCCTGCAGGCTTTCCACGTGTGCTGGGTCTGAGAGGCCACAGGCATCTGGGGAGACAAAGGCAACGTCAATCGGGTGGGCAGTGGCAGGAGGGCACGAGGCCCCTCCAGGGGTGACTGGAGGGCACCACTCGGGGTTGTGGGTCTGGCGGGGGGGCGCGTTCAGGTGGGAAATGGAGGCCTGAGGCACAAACGGGCGCATCTCAGGCAGTGCCGGTCCTCAGGAGAGACTGAGGTGGTCTCAACTGCGGCCAGCAACACAGGAGTGTGGCCAGCCGTGTCTCAGGACAGAGGGGCCCCGACTGAGGCCTTTGGCAGGGTGACAAGTTCTAATCAAGCTCGAGGGGAAGGGAGCTAGGGAGGGAGGGGACTTGGGAAGGAAGGCCAAGCCCAGAGGGAGTGTTCAGACAGAATGGCCTAGTGTGTCAGTGAATGTGGCAGCATCTAAGCTGGGGACCCATGAAGGGTAAGGGACTGGGGAAAGAGGGGCAAAGCCGTATTTATCAAATGAAAGCCACCTCTCAGAGTGCTGGGTCTGGTTCTTGCATCCCTGACCCCACGAAGATACCTATGGGGTCCGGAACCTTCCAGAGTGCGGAACCAGCTGTGCCACTGGTTCTCACTCCAGTCTCTGGAGTAAGGCAGGGCTTTCGGGTGCTGGATGGGTTAACTGATGACAAGGAAGGTACTGGGACAGCCCTGCCCTAGCCCCGCCCACAGAGGGAGGGACTCCAGGACACGCCCCTGCCCAATCCCACCCTAACCATCCCCCACCCCCACCCCCACCCCCGCGGCCCTGGCTGCCAGGAGGCCGCCTCGGGGGCAGTTTGGGAACCCTGGGTCAGACGTCTGAGGGCCCAGGAATCAGGCGGTGGAAAGGCTCAGGGGAGGCCAGGCCCAGGTGTCAGAGTATCGCGGCCTGGCAGCCCTCCACAACTGCACTGGAAGCAGGAAGAACCCCCTGATCTGGCAGACGAGGGTCCGAGGGGCTGGGCAGGACAAAGATAGGGGCTGAGGGCCAGAACCAGGTGTCCGCGACCTCCCTCCCTCATCCCCCCCACCTCTCAACCTGCCCACTGAGCACGAAGAGCACCCTGACGAGGGGGTGGAGGGTGGGTCTCAGGGAGCCCGGGAATCAGGGAGAGAGGCTGCTGGGGCCTGAGTCACGGGTCCAGGCCCAGCTCTGGGTTCTCAGGGAGACCTGGGCTCCGGGGCTGGGGACATCGGGCCCCCCCGCCCCACCCCCACCCCCCTTATCAGCGCTCAGGCACGTGCAGGGCCGGCTGAGGGTCAGGGAGTGGAAGGCTACGGGGCCCGGGCTCAGGGTCCAGCGCGGCCCCCTCCCGCCCCCACACCCGGCGCGAGCGCGCCTCTCACCCGGCGTGAAGAGCGCGATGGCCTTGAGGCAGCCGTACTCGGCCGAGTCGACCTGCAGGCGGCCCAGCTTGTCCACCTGCTCCTGGAAGGCGCGCACCTGGTCCATGAAGGCCACGGCGCGCTCGGCGGCCATGGGCGCGGCGTGCAGGCCGGCGGCGGCCAGCAGCGGCGCCGTGTGCAGGGGCAGCGCCGCCTGCGCCGCGTTCAGCACGAAGAGCTCGCTCCAGCTGAGGCGCAGCAGCGCCACCTGGTCGGCCACGGGCAGCTCGGGGAAGAAGGGCGCGTGGCGCGCCCACTCCACGGTGCTGAAGAGCAGCCGCGCCGCCAGCTCGCACACGTTGTCGATGCCCAGCACCGCGCCCGCCGCGCCGGCCCCCGCGCCGAACGCGCCCGCCGCGCCCGCCCCGAAGCGCCCGGCCGCCGCGGGGTAGGGCTCGGCGCGCAGCAGCTGCGCGATCAGCTCCGACACCGGCTGGCCCGGGAAAAGGTCTCCGCCCGCGGCCGCCAGCGCCGAGCCCGGGGGGCTGCCCGAGGCGGCGGCCACGGCGCCGGGCAGCGAGTGCGGGATGCGGCCGCGCTGCACCGCTGCGGGGATTGAATGGAGATGCGGAGGAGGGAAAGGAAAGGAAAGGGGGCAGGAGCGGAGGGAGGGGAGAGAGGGTCCCCCCACCCAACCCCGCCGCCGCAGGGAATCGGGCGGGGGGAGGGGGGCGGCGGGGAGCGGGGGGCAGGGGGTGGGGGAGGCGGAGTGACGAAAACGGGCACGGGGAAGGGATTGAGGGACACGGGGAGATCAGGCAGGGGAGAGGGAGGGAAAGAACGAGGGGACGAGTGGGTACCCAGGGTCATGGGGGGCAGGTGGAGAGGAAGAAAGGGGAAAAGATAAAGTCATCAGAGGGTCACTCAGCCCCTCCCCTCAAAGGCTCCCCACAACCCAGCCTTTCCCTGGACCTCCCATCCCAGCCCCTGGGTGCACAGCTTGGTGGGAGGCCAAGGGCCCCACCCTGCTCTGCCCTGGGCCTAAGGCCATGTCCATAAACCACTGCCATCCCCACTGTTGGCAGAGCAGGGTGGTGGGATGCCCGGCCCCCTCCCTCTGAACGGTGTGCGCTCCACTCAGCAGCCGTGGAGGCTAGACCTGTCAAACATGCCCCCATCTGTCAATCATGGGGGTCCCAGAGCTGACAATGGGGCCAGGGAGGGGTCACCTTCATACTACTTGGGGCCCCTGGCCAGCCTATCCTTAAAGCAAGTGATCTCTCCTATGGAGATGGGATCTTTCCTCTAGCTCCCAGCCTCACCCCACCCCCAGGTCACGGCTCCCAAGGGCAGGTCTCCTCCATCTGCTGCGACCCCAGTGCTAGGAGTGGAGTCCCAGCCAGCCCAGAGTAGGTGCTCAATACACATTAACTGCCATCAGTAGCCCTGCCTGTTAAGGGGGCAGGGGGAGCACCCACTGCCGGCTTCGGCCAGTGTCCCCAGGATTCAGGTGAATGAGAAGAAGGAAACTGAGGCACAACGAGGAGGAGGGGTAGCCACAGGCTCAGCTGACCTGTGCCACGGTGGGTGGGGTGGAGGGGCAGACTGGGCTGAGAGCCAGACAGAAACTAACTAAGGGTCTTTAATGAGCTGGCATGCCCTGTCTCATCTCCATGAACCCATGGTCAACCGACCAGGGAATGAATGGGGAACAGAATGTGGGTGGGAGCCAGGGGCTAAGAGAGCTGAGCAGGGAAGTGGGGGCTTGGGTTCAAGGCTCCAGGGGATTTCTATGTCTCAGGATCAACTGTCAAATGGGTGGAGCTGGATAAGGCCAGAAAGTGGATCCCAGCTCAACGCCCTGGCCCCCCAGGGGCGGGGGGGGGAGGGACCTATTCCTTGCGGCCCTTTGCTCACTCAGTTCTAAACCCCATCCCCACCATTCATCCATCACCCAGCCACGTCCCTACCTCAGAGCCTTTGCACTCACTGTTCCTGCTTCCTGAGAACCCCTTCCCCAGCTCCTCCTCTTTATTCAGCCCGAACTGTGTGGGCGGCTCAAGTCCCAACCCAACCCTACTGCTCTCTGACCCTGGCAAATGGCTTCACCTCTCTGCTCGCTGTGCTCCACTTCCCCATCTGTAAGATGCAGATGGTAATAACCAGTCACTAAATTAATGAGAATCTAACTTGCTTAGAACAGCACTAGGCATACAGTAAGGGCTAAATGGGTAGTAATTCAGGCCAAGAAAAATGTATTAAGTGCCTTCAATGTCCTAGGCCCTGGATAGGCACTGGGGCTAGGTCAGAAAACAAGAAAAACACAAGTCCCTTTCCCCAGGGAGTGGACATTCTGGTGGGGGAGCAAGTAAATTACAGAGCAAGATAGATGGGGGGGGGGGGTGAAGAGCAATCAGGAGGGCTTCTCTGAGGTGTTCTTTGAGCAAACCTTAAAAGAGGTAAGGGGCACCTGGTGGCTCAGTTGGTTAAGCGTCCAACTCTTGATTTCGGCTCAGGTTATGATCTCAGGGTTGTGAGATCAAGCCCTACACTGGGCTCTGCCCTGGGCATGGAACCTGCTTGAGATTCTCTGTCCCTCTCCTGCTGCCCCTCCCCCCACCTCTTTATTAAAAGAAAAGAACAGAAAGAAAGAAAGGAGGTAAGGAAGCCATGCTGGTATCTGGGGTAAGAGTGCTCCAAGCAGTGGGAACAGCCTGTGCAAAGGCCCTGAGGTTAGGACTGTGTTTGGGGCATGAGCTGTGATTATGATTTTTTTCCCCACTCCTGAGACTTTGGAGATCTGAAGCCCTGATGTGATGTACATCAGGACTTTAGGTCAAATGGACAAGTAGAGGCAAAATCCAGGTTGTGGGGGGGTGGGGCAAGTCATCCCCGAACTTAAAAAGGACCAAAGAAGAGTAATCAGACGGTCTTAAGAGAAAGTCTGAGCAGCCACTGCCAGCGCCCTTTCCAGAGGCCAGCAGAGAAGACACCAACTTTAGAGCAGGGGAGACTCGAGAGGCAGGGAAGCGCTGCCAACCTGCCCCAGGAGAGTCCTGACAGAGACAGGAAGCGCAGCCTGGGGTTCTCATCCTGTGAAGCCAGACACTGGTCCCCAGCCCACCGGGCTCCATGTGGAAGCCTCTGGGTTCCAACGTGTGCTCGGCCCACTTCTGGGCCCAGCTGTCCGGCACGTGTGCACGCAAGTCCCCAGGGCAGAGACAAGGGGCTGGGCCTCCCTCTGGCTCCCGGTGCCCAGGGTCAGGCGGAAGGGTAAGCTGCCCTTTGCCTTAATCGGGCGAGTTCCTGCCTTGGACAAACACAAAGCAGGGGGTGGAGGATGAAAGGAAAGCAATCCAAAAAAAAAATCCTTGTTCAGACAGCGTTGGCCAGGCTACGGGGCACAGGGGCCACTGAGGTGTCAGGGCGAAGGAACTTGACTCTGAGGCCAGGGGCCCCGGAGAGGAGGGGCTGGGGAGCAGAACCGTCCTCACGGGGGCCTGAGTCAGGGTGTCCCTTGCATCCCCGGCAACTCCGCAGCCACCAGGTGACCATGGATAATTGGGTTCCTCCGGCCCAGGGCCGGACTGAGGCCCATGAGATCGTGGGATTGCTGGTAACGAGGTTAGCAGGCGCCAGACCCCACCCTCTGCGGCTCCCAGACCCCCCCCCCCGAGACAGGGAGTGAAGGCAAGGGCTGTTTGCACCCCCGTCTGCCTGCCCAGCCCGGCGGGTACTCACCCTCCTTCCTCATGCCCACCCGGAAGCACTTCTTCAAGCGACAGTATTGGCACTGGTTCCGGTGATGCTGGTCGATCTGGCAGTCGCGGTTGGACCTACAGGCATGCAGGGGGTCACCACGACACCCACGTCCTGCCCCCGGAGCCACCCTATAAGCCGCCTTTGAAGGCCGCACCTGAGAACCGTCAGTGCCCCCCTCCCCGGGCTGGGCAGGTAGCCCCGGACGGGCACAGGGGCTCAGCCTGCAAGTGTGCAAGGAGGGACAGGACAGTTGGAGTGGGTGGTGACGAATGGCGTCAGTCTGCGGCGAAGTGGATTAGCACGCCAGGGAGGGTATGTTGGAAGTGGGTTTTGAAGGATGAATAGAAGTTCTCCCAAAGCAGAGCGGCAATTCCAGGCAGAAAGCGAGAGGAGGGCTTTCAGGCTGGAAACGTGAAAATATGAAAGCCTCAACAGTTTCATTTTACTTGGTCATTGCGGGGTGAAGACATGGGGTCTTTGTTCCAAGGGCAATGTGAGAACAGCAAAGGTACATGGTCAGGGAGCCGGGCTTTGGGGGTTAGCTAAGACACTAGGGGCCAGGCCAGGGCCAGTCCTCTATGGGCACAGGAGGGCGCCAGTATTATCCCCCTGCATAAGCCTATCACCAATAAATAAATGAATGAATGAATGAACCCCTGCGCTCCCTTTAAGACCCCACACCCATATCCTCTCTTCTGGGGAAGACCTTCCAACTCCTAACCGAGCCTAAGAAGCTTCCTGTGGGTGGCCCACAGGGATCACGGCCTCTTCCAGGGATGGGACACGGGGCCCCGCCCGGCAAGAGAATGAGCTCCCCATCCAGGATCAGTCCCAAGCAGAAAGGTTCAGGCCCTTGTTCTTCAAATCTCTCCAGCACTTCTTCCCCTTGGCCCCTACCCCTGTGTTCCCTCGCTGTCTCTCTGGGCTCCAGGCTCTCCAAGTCCCAGACCTGGGGCAGACACCCCTGGGGTCCCAGCTGGGCACCAAGAGGGTACCCAGAGACAGTCACAGAGTAAAACGAATGTTCGATGAAGTTAAAAATCAAACACATCTCAGCCACAGGCACTCAGCCCCAGCCCTGGGGCGGCGACTTCTCCACTGAGACTCAGTTTCCTCATCTGGAAATGGGAGGCCAGATGCCGGCTCTATATGGGATGCGCTGGGTCTGGGGGGGTCTGGGGGGCTTTGGGGGAGGGCATCAGGACCCAAGCCCAAACTGGGGGGTTCTCAATGGCAGGTTCAGGAGAGCTGAGGTCCTGGGGGTCTCCGAGTGCCCAGGTCCCAAAACGCCAGCCTCTAAGCCCAGGCCTCTGTCCCCTGCCCGGCCTGAGCCCCCAGGAAGAGGCCCTGCTAGGGTGGAGGGAGCTCAGGCAGAACCAGAACAAAGCCCAGCAGGCAGGCAGTGGGAGGGTCCTGGGCAGCCGGGTGGAAACAGCCAGGCCTGGGGCGGGCAGGCAGGCAGGCAGGGGCCCAGCTCAGGGCCCCTGGCCTCAGGGGAGGTCCTGAACCTTCTGCCTCAACTTCCCCAGCTGTGGAGCTGGGACAGATCTCCTGTCCCTCCGGATGGGGAAACAGTAAGTTCCACCTGTTATCCCACCTAAAGAGCACATGCTTTGCCCAAACCCATGGCCCAACTCAGCCTCCTCCTGAGGCTTCTGGCCTCTGGGCCAATTTGATCCCTGCCCTCCCTTGCTCACATACCCTCCTTGGCTCCCTGTCATCCTCAGTCCAGCACTTCAGATCCAGTCAGCTCTAACTTCTCCCATGCCCGGGTGGTCTCATCTTACAACACTGCCCCCCCTAACCTGCCACTGAGTGTCTGCCTGGGCCACGCTCTCTCCAGGAGTGCCCTTCACCTCCTCTACCTGCCAAAGCCCTCCTGCTTTCAGGCCTACCTCCCACAGACCTCCTCCAGACAGCACTCCCTGAACGTCAGGCAGAGCCCCTTGCTCTCTCCTGGGACTCCAGAGCCATCCCTCCCTCTGGCCCAGCCCAGACTCCACAGGCAGGGAGCTTCTGTGTCTCACTGTGCCCCCTCCAGACCCAGAGAGAGCTGGGATGGGGGCTGGGGTCTCTCTGAGGGGCTGGCCTCAAACCTCCCAGGCTAGGCCCTGAGGGGCCTTTGCTGAACCAATCTGAGGCTCAGAGAGGGGCCGTGACTTCACCAGGTCACACAGTGCAGAGCTTCTGGAGAACCTGCCAGCCCCAAACAACGCCCCCCCTCCCCTGTCTTGTAGCTCCCTGCTCCTACCTTCAAAGAGCCCCTGGGACCCCAGAGCCACCGAAGCTCCTCCCTTACCCTCCCCAAACACCCGGCCAGAGAGCAGGCAGCAACAAGAATGAGGCCAAAGTCTGGTGGCCCAGTTAGCACCGGAGAAGGGAGTAAGCCAGCTTCCCCCACCCCCCCAAACACACACACACACAGCTACCCCAGACAAGGCCCTGACCGCAGACCTGGGGCCAAACTCCAGCCTCTGGTGCCCGGCGCCCCGCCCTATGGCCTCACCAACAAGCCCTCCATCAGCTGCCCTCTCCCTGGGGATACCCGGATCAGGACTCAGCCGCTCCCCTCTTCCCAACCCCAGTTCACCTTGCTAAGCCCCAACTGGGGCAGGGTCTCTCCCTGGGTGCCCTAGGGCAGCGCCGGGACCTCTTTGGGCCTCAGTTTTGCCTATCTGGAAAATGGGACTCTCCATACTGGCTCTGCAGAGCCTACACATGTTCCTGTTGGGGTGCAGGGTAGGAGCTTGTCAATGGAGTGAAAGGACACTCAGGGGAGAGTGGTGGGAAAGGGGGCCCTGGGCTAGACACCCAACCCCAGCACCAACCAGAGAAACTAGCAAGGCCACACCCTGTCAGTGGGGACTCGAACCTCGGAATGCCCAAGGCTCCTTCTTGAAAACATTCACCCCCACCCTGTCGGAGCCGACCGAAGTTTCAGGGATTTTCCAGGAGCCCCAGGTCGGCACCCACTCCCGGTGGGGGGAGGGTTGGAACAGCCGAGGTGTGGTCAAATCCAGCAGCCCTCCCAGCCCTCCAGCGGCAGTTTCCAGTGACCCAGGGCCCAGGGTGAGCCCAGGGTGGGGGGAGTTCCTCCCTGATGCGCAAGGCCAGCTCCCCCCACAGCAGGGCTACCCATGCGAAAGAGGCCGGAGGCCGCCCGGTGCCACCCCTGCCTCGCTCCCGCCGCCTCCGCCGCCGCGGTGGCCAGGGCGACTTTGGAAGTGATATTTGACCCCAAGGGCGCGCCGTATCGATCCGCGCGGCCGCAGACAATGGCCCCTGGACGCTGCGAGCTCCACCGTCCAAGTTCCACGTTCGATTCCCGCAGGGTCCCCTGCGCGCCGAGATCCCCGGGAGAAGGGATGCCCTGGGGTTAGGGCCCCACCCCTGACAGCACCCCCCAACCCTTCCCCGCGCGGAGATGACCCCCCTCCAGAGAAAAGGGAGGGAGGGAGAAGGAGCAAGGAACTGGGGCGGAAGCCGCAAGGGACCACCTGACGGGGGGGGGGGGGACCTGCACCGATACAGCGCCGACTGTATACACAATCCCAGGAATGGAATGGAGGCGGGGGAGAGGGGATTTTGCCCCTATCTCAGAGCGGGGAGTGGAGGCCCGGGGAAGGTCAGCGCCAGGCCCAAGGTGACCGAGCAGGTCAGAGGCCCGGCCCAAGCCGGGGCCGGGTGCACAGCGGCCGTGCGCTGATAGGGGGCTCACCGGCAGGTGTAGCTGAGGTTGCGGCGGATGCTCCGCTTGAAGAAGCTCTTGCAGCCCTCGCAGGTGAAGACGCCGTAGTGCTTGCCGCTCGACTTGTCCCCGCACACCACGCAGTCCACCTGCAGCCCCGGCCGCTCTTCGTCGCCCGGCTCAGCGTCGCTGGCGGCGCCCGGGGGTGAGGCCGAGTCTTCCTCGGCCGCGCGCGGGTAGCCGCCCGCCTTGTCCACGCCGTTCGTGTCGCCGCCGCCGCTGCCGGGGCCGCCCCAGCCGCCGGTCACCATGGCCATAGCCCCAGGGCAGCGGGGCCGGGGCGCCCCCTCCGTGCTCCTCCCTCCGGGCACCCCTCTCGGCCCGGGGGGACCCTACCCGGCACGCATCCGGGCCCGGCGCGCGGGGGGCACCGGCTGCACCCCCCAAAAAAGTTTTGCAGCAACTTCCTGCGGCCGGTCCGCGCGCCCGGGCAGAACTGGTCGGGCCGGTTCCAGGCCAACTTTCCCACGCGTGCGCGGGGCCGGGCCTTGGGGGGGGGGGGCGCGCTAGAGGCGCGAGCCGGGGGCCCCGGGGACTCGCGCCCCGCCGCCCTGGGGCCCCGGCGGGGGCGCGCGGGCCATGGCCCGGCCCAGGCTGCGCAGGGGGCGCCCTCTGGCCTGGCCGCCGCTTGGCCGGGGGCTGCGGCCAACTTAGCGGGCCGCCATCCGAGCGCGGGAGGCCGGGGGGAAAGTTTGGCCGCAAGTTACGCGGCCGCCCGCGGCGCGGGGGAGGGGCGGCAGGCGCGCGTCGGGGCCGGTCGCCGCGCCCCCTGGCTCTCCCGGGCCCCCAGGCGGCCGCTCGGGGCCTGCAAGGCAGCGGGCCGGCGCTTCCCGAGCTGCCGCCCCCTCTGCGGCCGCGCCTGCCCGGCCTGGGCCTGCGCCTGGGCCCGAGCCTCGCTCTCGCCGCCGCCGCCGACCCCGCGCGCCGGCCTCGCGCTGCGGCCGGTTTGACACACAACGTTCCATTCGCGGGGCGGGCGGGGGGCGGGGGCGGGGGCAGGGGCGCGCGCCGCGGGCTGGGGGCGGGCGCTCGTTGCCCCGGCGACGGCCACCCTTATAAGGGCATGGGTGGCCTCGCTCGGCGCCCGGCGCCCGGGCCGGCGGGAGGGGCGAGGGCGGAGCACGGGGCCGCTCGGCCTGACCCTCCCCCCGCTCCTTCCCCCCCACCCTGCCCCCGCCCTCGCCCGACTCCAGCCTTAACCCCTGCCGGGCCGCGGCGAGAGCCTGGGCCGCCGCTGCCCTCTGCCCTTCCGCAGCCTCGCCAAGATGTCTCTGCAAGGCCCTCCCCTACGCCTCCGGCCTTGGACGTTGCCTCGCTCAAACGCCCTCGAGGGGCACCTCGGAACCCTACCCCTGCATTCCCCACAGAAGCAATAATGGGGGGCCAGCTGCACCCGAGGGCACGCCCCTGCGCAGTACACACACACACACAAACACACACACACACACACCCCCACACCCCGGGGCATTTCTTTGCACAGTTGTATGATGGATTGTGTTTGCTTCCTCTTCCAGAAAGTCGCCGCGTCCGACCCCCACCCCACCCTTTCTCAGCTTGGGCTAACACCTGGTGCTGGGAATCTCCAGGGCTAAGGGATGTTGTGGTCTGTGGCCGGCGGGGGCGCGAGGTCAGGGCCCCTCCCCCCCTCCCCCCGCGCCAGAATTTTAGGCCTCTTGGGGGCAGGGCACCCACCCGCCCAGCTAGGCTAGAGGTAGCAGGAACTGAACTTCCAGGCCCACCATCCCTACTGGGGCCTGCCCCTTTTCCTCTTTAATTTCCTTTTCTTTCTGTGCTTCACATAAAGGGCTTGGCCAGGCCACCGGCTGGACTGCAGATGTCTCTTCCAGTCTCCCTGGAGCCTCTCAGTTGCCGCTGGCTTACAGCTTCCCCCCGTCCTCCACGACCCCAGTGGGGCCAACCAGCATTTATTAAGCACCCTTTGTTTGTCCCACCCCCCTACCCCTCACCTCCCGGCGGTGCAGCCAGAGGCTGGGCAAGCCTGAGCCTCTTGCTCTGGGCCTGTTAACGTTTAACTAGCTGGAAAAGCCCTTCCTATGGTGACCTTTCACCTTGGAGTCCTGCAGGTCCAGTTGCCGGCCTTATCTCCTGCCCTGCCCTGGGCCCTGGGCCCAGAGCTGGACACCGGGGCACGTGGCTGGGCCTCTGAGAGCTGCCGGCAGGAAAAACAGTGCCCTCTGCCCCCACTGCCCCCTCCCCTTGCAGGAAGGGGCCTTGGGAAAAGGCATCCCCTTCTCCAGATTACATCTGAGGGGGCACCTTGGCGGGGGGGGGGGGTTGCTGCTGGGAGATCTTGGAGATCATGCAACATTTAAGAGGATACCAAGGTTCTGTAAAAGCCAGGCACCACACACCCAGCCCTGGGCCTCTGGGCCTCCCAGGGAGAGTCTGGCCAGGTATGAGTTGGGGGAAGTTTTAGCAAGTACAGGAAGCAAGGACTGGGGTCAGACATGAGCAAGGACTTTCCATGGGACTGACTAGAGTGGAATTCCCTGCCCTGTAAGCCCTGCTGGAAAAGGGGGTCTGGAGGGTTAGAGAAGACCATTTTGTTCTGGGGCTGCCTGGGAATGTGGAGGTACCAGCTGGCTATTTGGAGGTGAGGACGGGGGTCCCAGGTCCCTGGACGGTGCTTTCCAGCATTCTTGGGCAGGGGGCATCTTGGAAGGGAGACAAGGTTCAGGGAAGGGAGTCAGAGGGGGACTGGAGAGGGGAGGGGGCAGGGACCTGGGGCTTGCGGGACACAAGTTCGGGGGAGGCGAGGCTCACAAGTGGCAGTCTGGGGCCGGTTTGGAGACTAGGGAAATATCCGCCGCAGATCCTAGAACCTCGGGTAGGTCCAACCCCTCGGCGGCCGCCCCGCCCCCTCTCCGTAGCGCCGCGGCCCCCAACCCCCTGGGGCCCTCCTGGGGGGGGGGGGGGGGCGTTCGAGGCCCGGCCCCGCCCCCTTGACCCCTGCCCGCGGCCCCGCGGTGACATTTGACCTTGCTGCGGCTGCGGACCGGGGACAAAGAGCTCTGGGCCCATCTGCCGAGGGGGCACCCGTGGGAACGGCCAGACCCCGCTCCCGGCGGCCTTGGAACCCGCCCCTGCCCCCTCCAAAAGCGCGAACTCATTCCCCACCCTTCAACAGGTGACCTTGTCTTCTTTTGCCCCCCCCCCCACCGCGGGCAAACTGGTGGGACTGGGGGGCTTGAAGCAGGTCTTGCACTCTTGGCATGAGGGAGTAAGGTCGGCCCCTCTGACCCTCCTCAGGACCTTGCCCTCTTCAGTTTCCCTGCTTTTTTCAAAGCTGGCTTTCGTCCAGAGAGATTGCACGGTCCGAAGGTCAGCAGCCCCAGCGATCTCGGAGGAGTTTGCGTCAGGAGGACCGGCTTGGGCCCGGGCCCCTGAGGGGCCGGACTTCCGGCCCGCCTTGCAGCGGGCCGCCACCAAACACACCTGCACAGGTGCGGGCTGGAAATCGCCCCGCACCATCAGCACCACCAGGCTGGGGATGGAAACCTTTCTAAGGCCCGTCTTGGATTTCAGCCATCACCGAGAAGGTGAGAGCAGGCCAATAATCCGCCTGGCCGCGTCCCACCCGGTCCCCCGTTTCCCGGAGGTGTGGCTTATGCAAATGATATGCTAATTAGACGCCCGCTCTTAACCTGACACTAAGAGCCCCCGGGTCCTGCAGGTGAAAGCTGGAATTTAGCCTGGCCAGGGGCCATCCAGACCCTCAAGCCGGAATATCATTGCCCCGGAGTAAACACGCAGATTTCTTACCTTTGCTGTGCCCCCGCATCCAGAAGCCCTTCACCTTAGCTCCATATATTCTTTGAATGCAAGTTCCAAAGCCCTCTGATTTCTCCTCTCCCCCACCTCCACCTTGGGAGCGATTGCTCTTCTGGCTAATTTTCCACACCCTGAATCTTTAGGCCCTCAGGCTTCCTCCTGGGATATAGGCATTTTCCTCTTGGGAGCATCTACCAGGCCAAACCCAGAATCTCCCTGGGAAGGGGGTGGACAAGGGGAGATGTCCCTTTGGAGTCCTCCCAGGGCTTCTGGAGACAGATGAGTGTTGGAATTTCAGTTCTAGCCATATAACCTCACTGACCCCGAATCCTTCAGCCAGTCTTAGATTTGGCATGATCCCTGGCATGATCCCGCTGACATCACATTCACGTGCCACATAGTGCCAGGTCAAAGACAGGGAGCCTTTCTCAAATGCCCAGACCCCCAGGTGCATCAGCCCCCATCCCACCCAACAGATCCCAACATTCAAGGTCGCACATGACATAACATCACTCCAGGACAGTTTATGATGGGGCCCACCATAACTGTCTGGCATGTCCAGACACAGCCAGACTGGGACCTACAGAAAGGTCTCCCCCAGCCGGGGAGGACGGCAGGGTGGTCTGGGCCTCCCCAGCGCCCTTGCGGTGGCTTCTAACACCTCCAGCTCCTCTGCCTGTCGAGCCTCCATTACTGCCACCTCCTGCTCCAGCTTCCTCCGCTGCTCTTCCTGCTTCCGGTGGGCGCCTCGGAAGGCCAGGACCAGGGCGCTGGAGGGGGTGCGAGGGGGGCTGAGCCAGGAAACAGCCCCCCTCCCACCCAAGTCAGGAGTTATGTATTCCCGGCCCCAGACAGAGCTCTCTGAGATTGAATCTTCCTAGGGTTCCGCTCAGAAAAGGGAGGTATGGGATGGATTGAACTCGCCACCTACCTTAACGGGGGAAACCTGAGGCCCAGAGAGAGCCAGGGACACTTCTGAGGTCCCCCGGGGAGACCCAGGGAAGGGGGACCCACCTGTGAGCCTTGCATAAGTCGCTGTTCAGCTCAGCACTCTGAGCACGTCTGGCTCGCCCCTTCTGAGCCACCTGTTCCAGTTCCTCCCGCAGAGACTGCAGCTGCTCCCGCAGGCCCAGGGCCCTGGTGCAGGGGTGGGGAGAGAGGAGCTCATCGCCATAGCCAATCCTTCCTTCCCTCCTCCCACCCCACCTGTCCATGGTATTTCCATGTGAGCACACCTGTACACGGATGCACACCCAGCCCTCTGCTGCACTCAGTGCCCCCATGGATTCTCGCATATACCCGCCCAGCCCATCCACCCCCCAGCCCGGGACCGAGACACACACCGGTTAAGTGACGCTGCCAGTTCCTGGGCTAGAGTCTCTGGGCCCTGCGCTTGGCCCACCTGGCCTCCATCAATGCCCCTGCTTCCACCAAGGACAGCAGGAGGGCCCTGTGGGAGGCAGAAGGGAGGGAAGTGACATTGGCCTAGGTGGAGGGCATACTCAGCCCAAGCTGGATGTTGAAGTCACCCAGACTGTGGGCAGCCACAGCCCCAGTCTGGTGAGATACCCCAATGAGGGTAAAATTCCTCCCTAACAAGAGAAATAAATAACAGGGGAATCTCATCTGGAGGCAGGTGAGGTCTGAGCTCAGACTTGCAAGAGGTCATGGGCTTAATCAGACAAAGAGGTAAGGGACTAGTGTTCTTGGCAGGGGCCCAGCATCTACAAAGGCTTGGAGGTGGGAGAGATGATTCAAAGGAGGGTTCCAGAAGCTGCCGAAGGCTTTAAGCAGAGGACAGACATGATTAGATGGTAAGGGGCAAAAGGGAAGGCATCAGGGGGCAAGCTCAAGCCAAAATTTAGGACGAGATGAAGCATGGGCTGGGGCTATTGGAGTGGAGATACTGGAGTAGGAATAAGCCTGGGGGTGGGAAGGAGGAGGCACAGGTTTGAGTGGAAGACGCCAAACGCCTTGGGGCTTAGTGGGCTCAATACCCTCAAATGAAAAAAAGCCCAAAGTACAGGTATGAACTTTGACATGCAGTCCTTTGTCATTCAACTCATCTCTTTCTGCAGAAATGCCAACTGAGGCTCAGAGGGGGGGCTGTGGTTGACCAGGGCCCCACAGCGAGTAGTATACTGCTATCCCCACCAGGTCCAGGAAGGGCCACTCACCTGGGACAACTCCTCTTCGTCTCCACTGCTCCCACCGCCACTGCTGTCTCCACCACTACAGCTGGCCCCACCAGTCCCGAGCTGTGCCCGCTCCCACCGCAGCTGCTCGAGCAGGAGCACGTGGGCTGGGCCCTGGGCTCGGAGGGCAGCCTCCCGCAGCTCCAGACCCCGCTTCTCCCGCCGCACCAACTGCAGCCGCAGCATCAGGTCTGCCAGAGTCTCCTGAGAGACCAAGGAGTGGGCATAGAGTTGGGGCCTCTAGGATCTGGGGAAACTGAGGCCCCAGGAGCCACCTCCCCCCCAGTGAGGACCGGTCAGGCAAGAACTCAAACCCTCACCATGATTTTGTATGATGGGAAATAATCATCTCCTTTAGGTCATTTTTAAATGACCACTGTAGGAATGGCAGTTCAGAGGGTACAAATATCTCAGACAAGGTCGAGTAGCATCTCAGTGGAAGTGTCTAGAGTTTCTCCAACTCTAGAACCTCAGGTCTTTCATGCCAGGGGATAAACCTCAGATTATGTCCCCTGCCTCCATCTCCTTTCCTCAGGAAGGAAATTTTGGAAAGCCAGATTCAGAATCTTATGAGAAACTGAATTCCAGAAGACAAACTCCTATTCATCCCTCAAAATCCCAGTTCCAATGCTCCTCCCTCCAGGAAGCCTGCCCCCAGCTACGTAGAACTCTCCTTTGTTACTTGGTCCCCCAGTCTCATCCCTCTCAACCTCGGCAAAGGGTTTCGTCCCACCAGAAAAGGCCAACACAGCGACCACTGCCCATATGTACCCGTGTGGCTGCCAAGTCCCGCTGGATCTGCATCTTCTCCAACCGGGGTAGGGCCGGGCCAGGCTGGGTCCCCAGTATGGCCTGCACCATGGCTTCTGCGTGGGGCACGGTGGGCACAGGTGCCAAAGTTGGGCCAGGCTCTGGGGGGATCTTCACCAGAGCACGGCGAGCCCGGAGACGCTGGATATAGCCCCAGAGCTGGGTAGCCACCTCCTGTGGCATGGGCCAATCCACACTACTGCCCTCGGGGCTATAGGAAACAGAAGAAGGGTCTAATGTCAACACTGGTAGCCACAGTTGTGCTAGCTTCATGCCAACTCTGGTGGGGCTCTAGCATCTTCCATCATACTGACCATGATGGTTTCCATGCCATCTGTAGTGAGTGCTGTCATACCAACATGGTGGATACCAGAACATAAACCCCAGTGGGCATCACCATTCATCAAGACAACATAGTGAACACCATCATGGCAACGATTACTGTTGTTCATGCCATCACAGTGGAAGCCATCACACCAGCACAATGGGCACCACTGCTCAGCTTGCTGACCCTGTTTGGCAACATCATGCTAACCCCATGTGTACCAACATCAGGCCAACCTGATTAAACACCATCATGCCAGTCCTAATCAGTGGGCACCATCATCCATCTTCATGCCAACCAACCCTGGTGGGTCCTATACCAATCCCAGTGGCTATCAACCACCATGCCAACTTTGTTGAATCACAACCAGACAACTCTAGTCAGGCCTCCTTCCCACAAACCACGGAGCGCCCTACACCGACCTTGCTGGGCACAGCCATGCCAAACCCCAACACGGAGCCAGCTGTGGGAGCCCCATTCTCTAATAAGGACCCCACTCACTGGCCCTCCCAGCTCTCAAGGTTCCCAGGGGTACCTTGGCTGTGGATCCCGTGGTGTCTCTCCATCCATGGCAGCATCCTCCTGTGCCAGCAGCCTCTGGGCTTCCTTCTCTGCCACCTCCAGGTTCCCCTTAGGGGCCTCCTCTCTTGTGCCCGAGTCTGCCTCCCGGAGAGTGAGCAGGACTCCGTACACTTCCTCGCAGTGCTCACTGTGAGACACTGATTTTGAGTGCTCCAGGACACCTGGCTCCATCTTGTCGTGCAGGTGACATACCCACTCGTCCTTGGATCCTTCATTCCGTCCCCCACTCCCACCCCTGGGAGCATGTAGACTCCTTCAGCACCCTTTGGGCTAAAATTGCCTTAGGGCGCCTGGGTGGCTCAGTTGATTGAGCAACTGCCTTCGGCTCAGGTCATGATCCTGGAGTCCTGGAGTCCCGGGATCGAGTCCCGCATCGGGCTCCCTGCTCAGCGGGGAGTCTGCTTCTCCCGCTGACCCTCCTCCCTCTCATGCTCTCTGTCTCTCATTCTCTCTCTCTCAAATAAATAAATAAAATATTTAAAATTGCCTTAAAATAATTTCTCCGGCGGAAAGTGCCTTCCTTCGAGGGCCCCGACCCTCCCTGCAGATCATGCTCGGAGAGTACCAATTCCCTTCCACGCTAGTGCTATCGTGGGTGGGACGCACTGACCTGTACCGCAAGGCCAGACGCAGCGCTGTGCCTTCGGCCTCTCGCCGGCCCAGCTGCATGCTCAGGCCTTCACACCGGCCCTTGTACGCCTGCAGCGCAGCTGACAGCAGACGGTTGAAACATTTGAGCTTCTCAATGCTCCTGCCTCCGCAATTAGGGGAGAGGGAAAATGAGAGCCCCCCCACCCAGGGCAGTCAGGACCCAACTGATCTGCACCCTCCTCCCCACTCCATTCCAGCTCCAGACTCTTGGGCTGATAGCCCAGCTGGGGAGGCTCCAGTGCCCTTATGAGCTCAGCATTTGTGGCCCTTACCCCCGGAGCTGCTCCATCTGGGCTTCCATGATGTGTATCTCGGGGGCGAGGGGTTGAGTGGGGAGGGGTCCAAGCATCTGAGCACTGGAATCACTCCGGAGGCGCCGGAGCAGGGGGTGAGCCAGAGAGAAGGGGTCCTGCTAGAAAGAGGTGACTTGATTCACCCAGATTGTCATTGAGGGCCCAGTATCATGGGGTTAAGCCTTTTCCAACCCCACAAGCTACTGGATTGCAGGTCCAGGATTTGAGTCTCGCCGCCCAGAATCCTAAAGATCTCAAGGTCGTGGTTTTAAGCTTCCTATGCTCACCTGAGTCCCCCAGGGCTCCTCATCTACCCCAG